TAAATCTTTCCTAGCGCCCTCCTTCTTATTGAGGAAAGTATAGAAAATAAAGTTTCGAATAAAAAAAAATATAGATATAACTATTCTCTTTTTCAAGAGAAGTAAAACATTTCAAATTTATAAACAATGTCCTGCATGGATCAAGAGACACGGTAGTGTGTCGACGCTAAGACTAACGCAGTGATATCAAATATATTTATGAAAAAAGTGGATTAGGACTAATGGGGAAACCACTATAAAAAAAAAAACGCGTCGTGCTATCTACCGCAAGGTGATGTGGAAACGATAGCGTTCTTTATTATCTTCCCGTTGTTGAAAGAATAAAAGAAAGTTTTTTGAAAAAATAAAAGAAAGTTGAACGAAAACATTTTTTTGTTCATTATATTCCATATCACACACTGTTCATTGTAATAACTTGAATAAAAATCTGACTTTGACTCGTTCATTTAAAGTTGAAATTTTACCGTTTGTTGGTTTCCATACTTGAGAGCGCAGTTACAATAAAGATATTTTTCATAAAACAAAAATTTCTATTTTGGAATATACTGTTTACTATTCCTTTTAATATTAACTTTTTATTCTTTATACTGAATTAACTTAAATATTGTTAATAATCATAAGAACTAATTTTTTTAATATTTTTTAATTAATACACCTAATTTTTCTTTATAATATATATTCTTAATGTATAAAGGAAAGCTTCCTATTATGAGATAAGCGCCTAATATGAGATAGTGGCTTTTCTGCTAAACTAATAAACGCTATTTATTGAGTCCACCATAAATTTATTGCTCTTGGATTAAAAACTATTTAGTAGAAAATACATTATTAAACTATGTCTGTAGTCATTGTAAAAAAAGATTTTAGAATTTGGATGTGTTCAAGTTTCATTGAGATGAGGTTTTAAATCCTTTTTATTATTTAATAAACAAATATTTGGCAATAAATTCTTCGTGTAGTGATAGAGTAAGATTGAACTAACAGAAAAATACAGGATATGTTGAATTGTTTAATTATAGAAGTTAGATTTGATGATCGTAAAACCATAAGGCGTGTAAATCGTAATATGAGATACCCAGAGTATTTCTATTATGAAATAATCCATGCTCCTATGTTATAGTGGAAATTGTTGCTAAAGAGTAAATGTTATTGTACAATAATAAAAAGGATAATCGGAGTAAACGTCGAGTGACCATTTTTGCGACGCTTGATTTCAACTACCTTAAGACGAGTTCTAGGTATAATCTATCGCATGCTCATTTTTCACGTACGCTGACTGTGTTTGTTTGCATTTTAAAAACATGAAATGAAGTTTTTTAATTAGAATATATATTTATTTAAATTAATATTTTAATATTGTTTCTAATATATTAATATAATAAAATTAATATTAATTTTGTGCATAAATAATTTTACTTTAATAAAAGTTTTTTTTAAATCGAGAATAATATTAATCGAAAATTCCAATTCAAGATAATAAAGTTAATTGTAATTTAAGTCAAAGTTAATTTTAGTATAAGTTAAAATTAATTTTAATCCAAGTTAAAATTAATTTTAATTTTAACCAAAATATAATATGATTTAAATTAAAAGTACTTTTAATCGAAATCAAAATCAATTTCAATTTAAGTCAATATAAATATTAATTAAAACCAATTTGAAGCCAAATTGAAGTCAATTTCAATTTAAGTCAAAATAACTCTTAATTAAAGTCAAAATCAATATTAATACAAGCTAAAAATAATTTCAATCTAAGTAAGAGTTAATTTCAATTCAAATTAAAAACAATTTCAATCAAAGTTAATTTTAATTTAGGTTAAAATCAATATCAAGTTAAAGTCAATTTTAAGATAATTTTAAATTAATTTTAATTCAAATAATAACTAAATAATAACTAATTCCAATTCAAATTGAAATTAATTGTAATTTGAAATAAATAATTTTAACTTAAATTAAAATTAATTCTAATACCTTTTTCTAATACCTTTTTTGTCAATCATCACTTTTGTGTAGATAGAGTGGACTAAACTGAGGCTACGTTCCAAAACGTCCTTTCCGAGGAAAATTTTACTCAAAATATATAGTACATGTAACATATATTATAGTAAAATTTTCCTCGAAGGACGTATTGGAATGTAGCCTGAGTCGAAAAGTCCTCTACCATTTGGCAATTTTCGCAATAGTTAACAAGATATTAATTACTAAAAATTGCAAAATATTAGTCTTGAATAATTTTTAGGTAATAGATGTTATTCGTGATAAATAACAGATCACCATTGGTGATCTAATTTAATTCCTGTGTTTTCACAAATGATGATCAAAATCAAAACCATTAGGGGAGACCGGGGGTGCTTTCCAACAAGGGACACAGTCAGACACAGTGAATCATACGTCCTTGTTGTTTGCTTACGTTAAACAAGGATGAAACGATTCACTGTGTTACACTGTGTCTGATTGCGTGTCCTTGCTGGAAAGCATCCCTGGTCTCGTTGGCACAAGAGGTAAGTTGGCATTGCGTTCCATTTATGTATTTGTGGCGAAAAAAAGAATGGAAGAGTTACTGCAAAATATCTCTTTTATAACATAAATACTTTTCCTTAAGTTTCATTTAAATCAAATAAGTATTATAATCAAAAAAGAGAAAAATCTAATTCACAGGGAATCAAGTAGATTTCCGAATTTTTCAATATTTCGTATTGATATTTCTCAGTTTGAGAAAATAAATCTAAATGACATATTAAACGAAAAGTTTTTTTCGTTACTATATGACATGTTATTTTGAATAATAACAATAATTTGTTATAACAAAATCATTAAAATAAAATGTATGTAGAAATGGGGTATGTTGACTTATATTTAAGGCGTTTGACGCAAGGTCAGCATAGGTTAGCCTGATGTGCTGTTAACGTTTGCGCGTAAGACGTGTCGTGATATGTACTATCGTGTATAAATATGCATGTGATAAAAGCAGAAAATGGTAAATACTTTGTATATATTTCTTATGAGAAAATAAATGTAGTAATGTAGTTGTTGTTACGATGATTACAATGTATTCATTGTATATAACCTACTTATTTTCACGGTTAGATTTGTAGTTAATTTTTTCTATACATTGAATTGTCTTAATGTCTGAGCATGTTTCATATTTTTGAGTGCTTTCTATTTAGCAACATAAATCAAATATAAATATTATACTGTCTTCTTTGGCAGTTAACCTCAATGAGTAACAAAGACATTTAGTATTGACTGTTTGTATACATATATGGGCAACTTAACCTGTGACATGTGCCAATTTACCCCACTACGGGGCAAGCTGGCTGCAATGCAGCGTGTTCGTATTTCACTTACTACAAAGAAACTATACACTATACAGGACCATTCCTAGCATGAAAATGTAGAAAAAGGTTCTTTTTATCATATTAGCATAATTTAATCATAACAATCAGTCATTTAAAGGACGTATAATACCTAAATCTTTGAAAACTATGCCAACGAGACCCGGTCTCCTCTAAGTGGACTTTAGTGAATGATATAATGTATTCCGAAATCCACTAATAAAAGGAAATAGGAGTTCTTTCTAGATTTTTCTTAGTACCCTTCTTCTTATTGAGAAAAGTATAGAAAATAAAGTTTCGAATAAATTTTCGAATGAAAAAATAAATAAATTTGGATGTAATTATTCTCTTTTTCAAGAGAAGTAAAACATTTCAAATTTATGAACAATGTCCTTCATGGATCAAGAGACACGGTAGTGTGTCGACGCTAAGACTAGCGCAGCGACATCAAATATATTTACTTTATTATGAAAAAAAAGTGGATTAGGCCTAATGGGGAAATCATTATATGAAAAAAAAATCGCGTCATGCTATCTACCGCAAGATGATGTGGAAACGATAGTGTTCTTTATTATTTTCCCAGTATTGAAGGAATAAAAGAAAGTTTTTTGTTAAAAAACACTGAGAAAAATGTCTCGGAAAAAACTAATACAATATTGTAGACTTAATTTTGTCAGATAAATAACTTAAAATTGTAACATAATGGAAAATAAAAAGTACACAGATTAGCTACAATTTTGTAGAAAATTTATTGTGTCACATGCAAACACAAAAATTGTGACTCTGTGAAACAAACGCTTTATTAATAAAAAGTAAAACATTTTTCTACAGCGTTTTAAGTTATTATTATACATTAATAGTAACTTGTTACACAATGGTTATGTGTTTTGTAGAATGGCGCAGACAATTCTCGTGCCTGCACCGTGGTTTCGCGTGAGCGTTTTATTCCTTCTGAACACACCGTAATCACAGCACAAAATGTTAACTAAGTGTTTATTATAATTTCACAGTATATTCATTACAATTCGCATTAAGCGTTTATTACAACCCGCCTCAATCCAGAAGTGGATCGCACTCGCGTGGCAACGCCTTGGGGCCGTAGCCCTGAGCCGACTCGTGGTTACGATTGAGGAAAACACCCTGAGCTCTCTTAGAGCAACGCCTAGGGAATGTTCCTTGATTTATGGAGGACCAGCAACAACGTCGCTGCCTCGAAAAGAGCGTTCTCGTAGACAGACTTTTCGTATCGATGTGAATCGGATGGTGAACTTCGAAAGACTGACTCTCGGTGATGATAAAAGAAGAAGAACGGGATCCTTGGTGACGGCGAAAATAAAAACATAAGCGCCGCGTTCCTCTATTTTTTCCGTCGTTAACTCGCTTGCATTGATGTGTGTGTATGTGTCGTCTGCGAGAACCGTCTCTTTTCTTATTCGCGTGTGATGCATCACTTTTCTAGTCTACGCATAACATACTCCCCCCATTGAGAGAGTAATGATCAATCTTGCGTATAAATTACGTATGTATCTTATTATAAATAACGTATATAAATTATTACATATATTACGCATGTACTCGGCCGGTTCGCATGTTACGCTTGTGTTACATTATTATTATAAAATATATCCGTATTTTCGCATAAGCCGTCGCTAACGTGGCGACTGGCTAAGACTCCATTGGTAATGGACAAAGGAGTCTTGTTGCCCTTTTTACTTCGCCAGTCGCTGTCCGGATGGTGGCTACTCGAGCGACCTCATCTTCGCCCTGGTGTAACGCCGTAATTCTGCCCAGGAGCCATTGGGTGCATGGCAGGCCCTTATTTTTTATAAGGACGACTGCTCCAACTTGGATCTTCGGTCCGTTATCAGTCCATTTACTACGTTTCTGGAGCTCATTCAAGTATTCGAGGTTCCAGCGTGACCAAAAGTCTTGTCGAATCTTTGCGATATGTTGCCATGTCGACAGACGATTAGCTGGAACAGATCTCAAATCGCCCTCGGGAAGGGCCGTTAGTGGCTTGCCAATAAGGTAGTGCGCCGGTGTCAGGGCTAATGCATCGTTCGGGTCTGATGAAAGAGCCGTAATTGGTCTAGAATTAAGAATACCCTCGACCTCGACAATAAACGTATTGAGTTCTTCGAAGGTATATAGAGCTTCTCCTATAACACGCTTGAAGTGATGTTTAAAGAGCTTCACGGATGATTCCCACAACCCGCCGAAGTGGGGGGCCACGGGGGGAATAAAATGCCACGAAACGCGATGTTCGCTCGAAAACCTATTTACGGCTTCTTTATGTTGTTCTGAATTAAAAAGCGCGTACATTTCCCTTAACTGATTGTTTGCTCCTACAAAATTAATCCCGTTATCGGAATATACGTGTTTTGGCAATCCTCGTCTTGCCACAAACCTTCGTAATGCTGCAATAAATCCATCGGAGGACAAGTCACTCACGAGCTCGAGATGGATCGCTTTGATTACCATGCATACGAATACGCATACGTATGTCTTAATTTTTGTGCGGCTACGATATTTTTTTTCCTTTATGTAGAACGGGCCGCAAAAGTCAATGCCGGTATTCACGAATGGTATTGCTTCGCGTACGCGAGCCGGAGGAAGATCACCCATTTTGTACTCTACCGTATCGGCATTGTGACGAAAGCAACGAACACACCCGCGCACTATTTTTCGTACCTGATTTCGTCCATCTAATAGCCAGAATCTTTGCCGGAGAATGTATAGCGTAGTTTGAATGCCTGCGTGATGATGCGTTTCGTGTATCTCTCGGATGATGCAGTCCGTTAAACGCTGTCGACTCGGAAGCAATACCGGGTGTTTTTGTGAAAATGCGAGTTGCGAATTGCGAAGACGTCCCCCCACGCGAATCAATCCGACATCGTCAACGAAAGGACTTAAATTAACGAGCCTACCTTTATTCAATAAATCTTTATTTTCTTTAAGTTTTTTGATTTCATCACCGAACGACGTCGCCTGAAGGATCTTCAATATTCGTATTTCGGCTTCGTTAATTTCCATCGCGCTTAACGCTCCGATGTCTTTATTATTAAACCGCCAGCGAAGGCAATAATCGATGATTCGGAGTAGCTTCGAATACGACGAGCAATTTTTAAAAATTTCGAGATCGTTTAAAGTCACGAACAAACAGGTATTTTTTCTTAATTCAGGTATTTCTATCGACTGTGTAATCTGGATAGGCCATTCGTCTTCATCCCGTTTTAACCAGGAGGGCCCCACGGACCAAATTTGATTCTGCAAAAAAGCGTGAGGTAATTGCCCCCTTGATATCGCGTCAGCTGGATTATCTCGTGAACCCACGTGTCGCCATGTATGCGGATTAGTGAATTCTTGAATTTCTGCGACCCTGTTCGATACATACGTCTTGAGTACATGCGGTGACGTTTTTATCCAGTGCAAAGCAATAGTCGAGTCACACCAGAAAACTACCTTATTGATCTTGATAATCAATGAATCACACGTTTCACGAAATAGTCGCGCTAGCAACAACGCACCGCACAGCTCTAATCGCGGTATCGTGGTGGTTTTCAACGGCGCAACTCGCGATTTAGCACATATTAATCTAATGATCGTATTTCCGCCTTCATTCTTTGACCGCACGTATAAGCATGCTCCGTAACCCGCCTCACTGGCGTCACAGAATCCGTGTATTTGTATGTCTCGATAATCCGCTGCATATAATTTACGATCAAAAAAAACGTGATCCATCGATTCTAATTGTCGCGCGAATTGCATCCACTCGGTGTATATACCTTGTGGAACGGACTCGTCCCATTGCAAGTTGCATCGCCACACATCTTGCATCAATCTTTTAGCGTAAAAAACGACTGGCCCCATTAAACCAAGCGGGTCAAATATTTTTGCGATTTCGGATAAAATGTTCCGCTTTGTTACTCGATTCGTTATGTTAACAGGATGGGCTACATAACATATTTTATCTTCGCGTGCATTCCACGTTATTCCTAATGTTTTTAGCGAACGATCCTTATCCGTACCGAAATTCACGTGCAATGAATCGGCCGTTATGCCATCCACGACCCGTTCGTCATTGGACGCCCATTGCCTAATGTTAAATCCGCCTTTAGCTAATAGCGCGGTGATTTCGCCTCTAATAGCCCGAGCTCCGTTGACGGTTTCTGCGCCGGTCAACAAATCATCTACATAAAGGTGTGCCTTTATAATTTCCGCTGCTATAGGGTGATTGTGACGTTCATCATCCGCGAGTTTTTGTATAGTGCGAATTGCAAGGAAAGGTGATAAAGAGACACCGAAAGTAAGCGTGTTAAATTGAAATGTCTCTATTTTCCCGTCTACACGCCAGAGTATCCTTTGAAATCGCTTATCTTTTTCGTGTATTAGTACCTGACAATACATCTTTTGAATGTCCGCCGTCAAAACATAATTGTATGTTCGAAATCGCACTAAATGCGCGAACAATTTTGCCTGGATTGTGGGTCCTACCATTAACACGTCATTTAACGATACGCTGTTACTCGTTTTCGTGGACGCATCGAAAACTATCTTGAGTTTAGTGGTGTTACTCGACTCCTTGAATACCGCGTGATGAGGCATGTAATAGCCATTGTTTTCGTAGTCATCTATCAATGACATGTATTCCAGCCGTATGTATTCTTCGATCACCCGCGTATATTCTATTTTTAATGCTTCGTTCGCGTTAAGCCTGCGCTCTAAGGAGAATAAACGCTTGAGTGCGATCTTACGCGATTCACCTAAACATTCGTCTGTTGTGCGAAAGGGTAAGCGGACAACATAACGCCCGTCACCGGTGCGAGATACATTTTCCAGAAAATGCACCTCACACCGTCTTTCTTCTTCTGACGACGGTTTATCGACAACAATTTCCTCGATTTCCCAGAATTTAGCTACCTGTTCCTCCAAATTTGTCAAGTAACATGTCGCGGAAACTAGAGATATTTGTGATGGTGCGCTTCCGGCGATTACCCATCCCAACCTAGTTTTTTGCAAATGTAAGTCGTGACTCTCGCGCGATAAGTTTTCGTATCGATGTGAATCGGATGGTGAACTTCGAAAGACTGACTCTCGGTGATGATAAAAGAAGAAGAACGGGATCCTTGGTGACGGCGAAAATAAAAACATAAGCGCCGCGTTCCTCTATTTTTTCCGTCGTTAACTGCTTGCATTGATGTGTGTGTATGTGTCGTCTGCGAGAACCGTCTCTTTTCTTATTCGCGTGTGTGATGCATCACTTTTCTAGTCTACGCATAACATTATGAAATTATGCTACAAAAATTTAGTAAAATTTATTGCGTGATTGTAGTGCTCTATAAAATAATATTCTTAATATTTAAAACAGCTAATATTAATTTGTAATAGCTTATTTCAAATAATCCACTATGGTAGAGCAAGGAGTGTTTCGCGGAGCTATCAGAGATGGCGTGTCTTCTTGTAAGAGAAATTCAACGTCTACCTCTATAAAGCCGAGACGATTAGAGACTAATTTCGTAGACTTCTCGGTTCTCGTCACACCATGATCAATCATGGTAACTATTTTTTTAGAGCGATTAGTAATCTCAATTGCTCTAAATTATATATATTTTTGCTAAGCTAAGGAAATCCAAAAACGCCAAACATAATCAGTTTTGCTTGTGAAACAACCTCACTTTGCGCGGACGTAGCTCGTCGGTCACGGGCTGCGGCCATGGTCGCAAAGAGGTTCGGCAAGGAGGAGAGAGATGCAAGGCGGTAATAATGTAATCGATACGGATTTCGTGATAAGATGTGAGTATATTCTGTTATAGAGTACAGAGTGTATATGTGTGTGTGTGTGTGTGTGTGTGTGT